GTTGGAACTAAGATTATTGCTTGAATAGCATTTTTATTTGGATCGATACGTTCAACAATTGGAATCGTGTAGGCACCTGTTTTACCAGTACCATTTTTTGCACGAGCAAGAAGATCACGACCGGTTAATGCAATGGGTATTGAATGTTCTTGAATGGGTGATGGCTGTTCCCAGCCTTTCTCATAGATACCTACAAGAAATATAGTTTATCGTTACGAAAAAATTGTTTTTCTTCTTCTTAAAATTTTACCCATAAGTAATTCTCGTTTAAGACAATAGTCTTCAAAATCATGACCACTTGTATTTGTAACATCAGATGTTCTAGCACGATTATCTTTTTCTGGAATGTTTAATTTTGATTTCCAATCTGGATCATCTTTACTAATTGTCGTTATTGAATTTGTAGTAGATGTATTTCCATTATTAATTTTATTTTTGTCATTACCATCTGTAGTCGCTGCAGAAAATGGTAATGACGATGAGGCTTTGCCTACTGTTGATGAACCAATCATTATTGAATGGTACGATAAAGAATACAAAACAAATGAGATAAATGAAATGAACTATAATATGTACAAATTTAAATCAAGGTTTATAGCAGAATTTCTTTTTTTTCCTTATTTGAATAGATTGTCAATGCAATCGAAGATATGTTAATATCTAAAGTAGAATAAACGTTTTCTTATTTTAATGTCTTTCGTATCTTTTTTTATCAATAAAATAAAAAAAACGTTTTAATGCAAGAACAAGAATAACAATCGATCACAATAATGAAAAAAAAACGTAGAATAAAATTTTGCACACATCATATATGATCTTAGAAATCATCAAAGGTAGCTTTTGACTAGTAAAACACACACAGAGACAAAAAAGAAAATGATCTGACTGTTCATTTATATGATTATTGATGTTGTTCTTCGGGTAATTGTTCAATAGATAGTCCTTTAGCCACATAAAGATCTTCCTCAATGTGACGTGGAATCGGTAATATCTCTGTACCTAATTCTTGTTCGACCTTGTGTACAGCAAATCTATCTTCATATGTTATTAAACTGATTGCTATACCCAAATGACCAAAACGACCCGAGCGACCAATACGATGGCTAAAATATTTTTTTTGGATGAACATGTATTTTGAACACTTAATTTCGAATAATGTCTTAACTTACAGATAAGTTTCACTATAGCGAGGAAAGTCGAAATTGATAACAACATTTACAGCTTGAATATCAATACCACGTGTAAATAGATCCGAACAAACAAGATTACGACAAAGACCAGTACGAAAATCGTGAAATACACGATTACGATGTTCTTGTCGCATCTTTGAATGTATATAATAACAATTATAACCTAATTCGGTAATTTTTTTAGCTAAAAGTTCAACACGCTGTGTTGAATTACAGAAAATAATCGATTGATTGATTTGTAGCTAGAATATAAAAGAGTTCATTATTTTCTTCAAAATAACTTCCTATTAATACTTTTACCTTTGAAAAAAGTGTATTTAAACAATGAATCTTTTGTCGTTCTTGTACAAATGCGTAATATTGTGTAATACCTTTAAGTGTTAGTTCGTCCATAAGATTTATTTCATATGCTTGTTTCATATGTTTACGAATAAAGTCATCCACCGTTAATGGAAATGTTGCTGAAAAAAGCATAACTTGTCGATCATTTGGCATAGCATATAAAAGTTCATCCAGCAAATGATTATAATCTTGTGAAAGTAATTTATCAGCTTCATCCAACACAATTACACGGCATGCATCAACTTTAGCTAAATTTTTATTAACTAAATCTAATAAACGGCCAGGTGTTGCAATAACAATGTGAACAACTTCTTGTAGGCGTGAGATATCTTCGCGTAATGATGTTCCGCCGGTTGTAACCATAACACGCAAATGAATATGTTTGGAAAGTTCCATACAAATTGCACTTGTTTGTAATGCCAATTCACGTGTTGGAACTAAGATTATTGCTT